TCCTGTCACTGATCAGATCCTGTCACTGATCACATCCTGTCACTGATCACATCCCATCACTGATCACATCCTGTCACTGATCACATCCTGTCACTGATCAGGTCCTGTCACTGATCACATCCTGTCACTGATCACATCCTGTCACTGATCACATCCTGTCACTGATCACATCCCATCACTGATCAGATCCTGTCATTGATCACATCCCATCACTGATCAGGTCCTGTCACTGATCACATCCTGTCACTGATCACATCCCATCACTGATCACATCCTGTCACTGATCACATCCCATCACTGATCAGGTCCTGTCACTGATCAGGTCCTGTCATTGATCACATCCCATCACTGATCAGGTCCTGTCACTGATCACATCCCATCACTGATCAGGTCCTCTCAGACCCCATGCAGTTGGTGCTCCAAGTCATAAGAGGGAATAAATAAAATATCACCCACAGCTTCAAGGAGCTGACTCCAATGAAAGAAGGAACTACACCCAAAAAAACACAAAGAAGCAAAACCAAAGAAATTCCTGGGAAATGCCTCAGGATAATGAGAATGGTGCCTAGGAGCTCTCTCAGATCATGCTCTGCTCACTCTTGGTCAAAATCTCTCTCTATGCCTTGCAATAATTTAACAGCAGGTCACTCTGCAGAAGCAGCCCCTTCATTTTCTTCCCTCACCCTTCTTTTTCACTCAGTAATTATAACCTGATCCTGGCAGGACTACAGCCTCTAAAACTCTCCTGTGTAGGAGACACAGTGCCAAGCACTCATCTCAGTTATATCAGTGATATCAAAGTGGGCACATGAGATGAACTGTTCTAATTAAATAGAAATAAATGACATATCTGACAGGTAATTACCCTGCTCTGGAAACCAAGGACTATGTAACCAGCAAAGGAGAAAAGGACTGTCTATGTGTGTGTGTATATTTATGTATAAGTGAGGCCAAAACACTGATGTATGTTTATAAACAGGGTTTTCCTAATGAGTTTGTCATGAACAGCCCTAACGAGAGATGCATCTACCTGTGGATCTGTGGATGGGAGAACAACAGCTCCCTGGTGTTTGGTAAGCAGATGTGTGTGACTCTGGCGGGCTGGGAGCTGCAGGCTGGACCCCAGCTGTGCTGGGCTGCAGTGGTGGAGCCTGTGCAGGGCTGTGCTGCAGCTCTGCAGTGCCACTGCTGCCAGGGGCTCACACAGACACAGCCCTGAGCCAGGGACACTCCCTGGAGCTGAGGTTCACTGCAGCCACAAAGCTCCTGTGCTTCACTGCTGAGCTGCAAAATAAAACCTGGCACACAGAGAGGGTGTGAAACAGCTGGGAGGAGAGAAAAGCCTTTGAAAACAAGATTTCTGTGCTTAACAGCTGCTGGCTGGGCTTCAGCACTGAATTAAGAGTAGCACACTGAGAGGGAGATGTTGACCTGTGCCCCATCCCTCACTGAACTGATTTCAAACCCTGAATCTCATGGGCTTTGTTCCTGTATCATTTTACACTCTTCATTTGGTAGTCTAGGGTTTCAACAGACTTATTAACTCTGTTAGAGCCAAAGATAAGAACACAGGAACAGAAGTGCCCTGGTAAGGACCCACATTCAATGGATTTTGCCCACGGCAGGGCTGGCAGTGTAAGATTGCTTTTCCTATAGAAGAAATTGAATAGTTTGTCTTTCATGAGCTGTAGATGGAAGAAGAAGGGGTTTGAATTACAGCAACAGCAGTGGGATAAATCATCTGCAGCCCTTGAGGATTTTGGGAACATGAGCTCCATGTCTGCCAAGGATGGAGCAGGCATCTGGGTCACAGGTGTTGACTCTTCGAAGCTTTGTCAAGACCTCCTCTTTGGGGCATTTGTTTGGATTAAAAAAGAGCCTCTTTCATTTCATTTTTCTTTTAATTTAGTTTTCCATCTGAAATCATGTGCCTAGAGGATATCAACAACACGAGAGGATGACTATCCATGAATATTCATCCCATTTCCTAAACAAACACAAATTTGTAAATGGAAAAGGGTGTGCAGCCCACCCTTTGTCCTCCCAAAAGGGACAGCAGAACATGAATGTACTGCAGATTCCCACCAGGGATGGAGTCCAAGGCAAACACCACCAGGGGACCAAACCCTTCCCTTGCTGACAGCTGTGATATCTTAGACCCAGGAAATCCTCCAAAGCTTTGCCTGACAGCACGATGGCAAACTGATGTCCAGCTCTCCACATGCCCTGAGATGCTGCTTCTCCCCCTGGGCTCTCCAAGGACGAGGTTTGAGGGATTCCTCATGTGATCCAAATTCAGCAGCAGGCTCTGAGTCATTTCCAGACAGAGGAAGGAGTAAACAGAGCCAGAATTCCCACCCCACCCTGCACCTTCAGTACAATTCCAATGCATGGCTGACTCAAGGGAGAGTGATGCCTGCAGGGGTGGCTGCCAGCCCCCAGAGACAGCTGAGAAAGGGAATGGGAGCCTGGGGATGCACAGGAGCCTCCCAGCCATGCAGGGGCTGCATTGCTGGAGTGGCCAGGAGCCCAGCTGTCCCTGCCAGCAGCACACACGGGCATGGGGAGCAGCCCAGCCCTGCTGCACTGCCAGGGAGAAACAGCCTGCCAGGAAAAGTCTGTGTGTGTGTGCAGGATCTCCCCTGCTGTTTCTGGAACACCTGCACTCCAGGTACGTGCACCTGCTCCCACACCTTTATTTCCATGCTCTGCTGGTGTGTGCCTGGGCACCTGCTGCAGGGGGACAGGTTTCAATTAAAAAATGCAGGCACCACCTGCCTTTGTTTTCCACAAAGCTGCTTCCCCAGCCCTGGAATTCTCATTCCAGCCAATAAGTGGATTATTGCCATTATTGCAGTTATTGCAGTGCAGACACTCCTTTGCCTTCTTGTGAGGCTCTTGTGTCATCTCTCAAAGCCCAAAAACGTCACATGAAAAACTTCCAGGGATTTCAGAGGCTCACAAGTCAGCACAGAAAAGAAATGTAGAGTCAGGAGGTGCAGGGTCCCAGTTATCAGAAATAAATTACACTGAGTTTAAATTTCACAGCAAGGGGTTTGTGAAGGCGCTTGGAAAATTCTTCTTTTTACCGCCCAAATTTTGTACCTAAAGAGCAGGAGCTGTGGGAACCCATAAGTTTCATAAGGTAAAGTGAATAAAGACTATAAAGTGAGCCAGTGAAGGCAATGGAACCACACTTCCACCTCCTGTTGTTCTGCAAAGCCCAGAGAGTGACCAGGACACGTCACAGCATCACACAAAACCTCAGGTATGAAAATCTGTCTGCAGAAAAAACACCTAAGGGCCCAGTGCAAAGTTTCCTGCAACTCATTTCCCAATACCTTTGCCTTAAGTTTAGAGATCTAAGCAACAGTGCCTTTGAATTTGGACAAAACTTTTCTCCTGCTCCCCCCAGCACTGCTTTTTTATCCTCACTGCAACCCAAATCTCCCAGTTCCTAATTGCATCACTCCCACGATATCTCTTCGCCCTTGTAACAGCAAAACTGTATTATTTCTATTATTGGAATATGTTATATTCCCCCTCAACACTGGAAGCTTGCAAGCATTTTCAGCCTGACTCCTGTCAGACACCTCAGTGCTGTTAATTGTTAATTTTTAATTGTTAATTTTTAATTGTTAATTGCTAATTAATTTTTAATTGTTAATTGAGGAGTGGGTGTGAAGAATGACACCACAGGCAAGCCAAACACGTTATGAAACACCAGCAGTGCTGTGCTGCAGTGCTGAAAGGTTAAAAAGTTTTGTGCTGCATTTGAAGATGATGATCACCTTTGCTTGGGAAAAAACCCATTTGGATTGTCTTCATTACACATAATCTCATTAGCAAAAAGCACTGTGGGGGATGTTAACACTTTCTATAGGATCAACTGCAGTTTAGAATAGTTACAGTTTATTTTATACCTTGGGGGTTCACTTAAGCTACAAGCTTTGCCAAATAGTAGGAAAAAAAGAAGTAAAGCTGCTTGTGTGTGCTGTGTTTTGCTGCTTGCCATTTTCAAATTGAAATAGCAGTATAGAAACATGAGCTGTGAGAGGGAAAGCTTTAGAAAAGAGGCACTAATTTCAGGTTCTGTGCCCTCTATAAATGGGAACTACTGACATCATTTTTCCATCATTATATTTATAAAATAATTTCCATAATGATATTTATAAAATAGCTACAGAGCTGCTTCTGTGAAAGAACTGGAGGTAAGTTTCCCTGAAGAAAGCCAGGGTGTGTTGAAGTAAATCAAACCACAAACTCTTAGTCAGATGAAGCCAGCTATCAGAGGAAACCTGGCAAGCCCAGTCTTAGCAAGAGCACAAAAAAGAACCATTTTGGCGAGACTACAACCAACAAAAAGCCAATGTTTTTAAGTAGTGCTGAATTTCTCATGTGACTACTGAGGTTTAGCAAATGTTCCTGTGCTTGCAAGACTCGGGTAAAGAATATTCTTGAGCTTTTAAACTCCTTTGGGAGCCCTTGAACAACCATATTTTGAGGGGAGGGGGATTCATTGTCCCATCCCTCTCCCTTCTCCTCAAAGTGACATTTCATGGCCAGCTGTCCATCACTGAGTTAGGCTGGAAAGCAAACACAGCCAGATGTTGTTCCACAGATTCCTCACAAATAAATGACTTGGGGTTATTTCAACTGTTAAAATCTAGAAAGTGTTTTTTTTTCTAATGGAAGACAAGCTCAGTGTTACAGTAAGGATTTATCTACACTCCTGGGAAGGGCTGTGTAACTATCTTTGCTATTTAACATTAATGTTTGACAGACAAATTGAATATTCAGACATGTGCATTAACTCTGTTTCCAAGTCACAATGTTCCTAAGTTAAACTATTTTAAAAACACAAACATTTGCTTACCCCAATGGCTGTGTGTGTTTCAGAACATTCCAAAATTTTATTGGTGAACTCTGACACATTTTTCTGAACAAGGAACCCAAAGTATTTGTTTGGTCTTCCAAAGGAAATAAATGTGCTTACTTACATGGTTCCTTTTGTTTTCTCCATCTCTTATGGATGTAATAACTGTCTCAGAAAAAACTGTTGATCCAGTTTTGTTATCTGTGACCTGATACAGGGAAAGAACAAAACATCAAACTTCAGTTTTTATCAGTCCTTTGTTACTCTCAGTCCTAAACCCTGCAATAATTAACCCACTCCCACCCCCTCTTTTTTCCCATTTTGCTGCCACCCTTATTAACCCCAATCTGAGGGGGAAAGTGGATGCCAGAGCTGCCTCCTTGTCTGTTTAAAATGGCACTGCAAAGGAGCCAGCTGAGCAGGAGAAGGTTGGGTTCTCATTCCCATGCAATGTTCCCAGCTCAGTCCCATTTCCAGCAGGCCCTTTTTCCAAAATAAATTGTTATTTCACTCTAACCTCTCATGACAGCTCTCCTTGACACCAGTCAAGCTCAGAAGATACAATCAAACCCCAGAGTAACCATCACCAGGAAAATTTACACTCCAAATTACCTTGTGAATAAACATGTAAGACTGGGTTGTTTTTTTGAAGACAAGGTGTGTGAGAATGGAGAGCTCACCATATACAAGTTTTCTCATACCTTATCAATTTCCTGATGGGTCTGAACAGTTCTGTTGCCCACTCTGGTTTCTGTGCTGGACTCATTATGGTAATTGGGAGGTAAATCTTCAAATCTGACTTCTGACAGCTTTTTTGCCCCTTCCTCCTCAGCTTCCATCTGCCAAATTAAGATAAAAAAACAACCAAACAACTGAAAATTAGCAGAAATATCACAAAAGAGACCAAGCCCCGCTTCTTGTGCGGCCCCCAGTGCCAAACCCTGCCCAGAGCAGCTTTTAATGGGCCACACAAACAGGGCTGAGCTCAACCCTTGGGCTGCTGAAGCCAAAGTCAGTCCCTGGCAGGGAGGGAAGGGTGCAGGACTGGCAGCTCTGGTATCGCTGTCAGAGGAGAGCCCAGAGCTCTGTTCCTCACAGAAATCCACTGACAGCCTCAGGCAGATCTTCCTTTCTGGCACAGGAGGGAAAATATCCCGGCAAGGGAGAGAAACAAAATGCCCTGAAGCCAACAGGGCAGCCCTATGGCTGAGGGGGTGCACATATCCAGAATTCCATCCTCTGCTGTCCCTGTGGGGTGGGGAAGGGCGTGAATCCTGGAAACACACAGGAACAAACCCCGTCCTTCATTTGGGACAGAGCTGGGAGGCCACCAGCTCAACCAGGATGAACAACAGGATTTTTCCCTAGGCAAAGCCTCTCCTTTTGGCGTGTCTGTTTGTTTTAAGCAGCAGCTGCAAACCTTTCTAAGCACAAACCATTGATCTGCTAAGACTGCTCAAACAATTCACGCCTTGTGCTGCACCCAGAGCTTTCCTCAATGCAGCCCCGACTGTAAAACCCGCAGGAATTGTGGAATTGTGATTCCATCCCTAAGCAGCATGGTGAGGAATGGTTCATTGCAGTGTGTCTGCAGTCTCAGTGAACATGGTGAGGAATGGTTCATTGCAGTGTGTCTGCAGTCTCAGTGAAGAGGATAACAGAGGTTCCAGATGCAGCAAAAGTTCAGAAATGATCTCACTATAGCACGCCAAGGTCTGTTTCTCCAGCTGCCACTTAAAGGGTTTTGTAGAATAAGTATTTTTGACCGAGAGACAAAGAGAACCTGAAAGGAAGGTTCTCAGGAGAGGGGAGTGCAGGGCCAGGCTGTTCTGGCAGCCACAGGAGACCAGGGCTTTGGGTGTGCTCTCGGCTCCCGGCGGTGGAACGGGTCCCGTGCGATTCCGGGCCAGCAATTTGAGACCAGCACACGCTATTCCAGCACGGGCAAGCCGCTTTTCGGGGGGTCTGGGGGCGCCGGGAGCCCTGAGCCCCGGCTGGGGACAGCCCCCATCCCCGTCCGTCTGTCCCGGGGCGCTCGGGGAAGGAGCGGGGAGACCCCGGGGAGAGAGCCCGGCACCCCTCACCTCCTGCACGGCATTGCGGAGCTTGTGCTGGGTGTCCTCCATCAGCGCCTCCACCTCCCGCAGCATCTCCCCGAGGCTGGCGGCTCTGCCTGCGCCCGGCGCGGCCAGCGGGGCACGGAGCGGCAGCAGCAGCAGCAGCAGCA